GTGCCTGGAGGGCTTTACAACCACATTGGTGGGTTGGCGGAATGGGCTAGACGGGGCACCGGGTTCCAGCTCCTCTTCTGAACGATCCGGGATAGCAGAGCCAGGGTAGCGGGGGGGGTGGCCCGGGTCGTGGCCTATCTCCTGGCCTGATGGGTAACTGGATGTGCAGAGGCGATTGCACAGCAACTGGACCAGCTCTTCGGTCTAGCTCTTGTTGCTGAAAAATGGCCCACCCGCATCGAAAGACTCAAGTGGATAATCACAGTAGAGACGTGTACGTACACGATCATAATCCTTTGCGGGTCTATAACCGCAATACTCTGTGAGCTCGTCCTATGCGCCCCCCTCCACATCAGGATTCCGCGGCTAGTCGGACTCAGGTTGTCTGTTGCTGTCGCAGTTGACCAACACATCAAACACCTCGTCGTGAGTGCGGAAGGCGTCCGTCAGGTCTAACAGGCATGTTCGGCACAGGACCTCCAGAGCGCATTTGCATTTGCTCTTGCAGGCTATCCTTAGGGCGGAGCAGCCGAGCTTGGCTAGAATCCGGGGGTCTGGACCATGGCGATAGCCCCCCCCCCCCCTCCGCCCCCAGTCGTGGCTAGACTGAGCGGTTGTCCAAGCGGCCGGGCCGTTAGCTCATTGTTCCCCGTCAGGTTTTTCATTCCTTTCCAAGTTGAGATAAGCTTCATCCGTCCACCCGTCAGATCCGCCAGGCTGCTTGGCTTGCGGAGATCTACCACGACGTTAGATCAGACGGAAAGGAAAAAGAAGTCATATGAGAAATCTGTCTTGAACCACCAATCCTGTCCTTCTGATTGGACCACCACACTCGACAAAAATGCCAAAGTTGTCTAACTTGTTGGACGCAGTACGCGGGTCCAAATCCTACCCACACATACACACGCCCATCTTAGCGACACACCACCTACACACACACCCCTGTTCCTGCATTCTAGATGATACATGATGAGCGCAGAAACCTTCTCTTTTCTCTCATTCTCCCCGCAAATGATGGAGAGAATGACCTCAAACTGTTTATCTGGGGGTTCAGCTGCCAGGATTCTCATAAGGGTTTTTGCAGTTCGAGTCGCACAGCAGATAGCTCTCCACCGCCCCAAATCCAACAAAAACCAGGCTGTCGGGATTTTTTCTTTCCATGGCCACATCATCACCGTCTATCGCTCAGATAGAGTCAAGGGAGAACAGTGAAATGTCTCGCAGAGTTGCTCCGAAGGGTCATGTCACCGGGGACAGCCGACTCTCATCTCTCCCCCAGTCACTCCTCCACCCGTTCCTGTCTGGCGTAGATCCTGGGTTTTTTCCCCCCTCCAACAAGGTCTCGGCCCTGATCTCCCTTCGATCCGAATTCTTGTTGTCTGTGTCTGTGAAGAGCCCGAGCGCATTCTTCCTTTTCCTTGTTGCCGCCACCGCCCGGTAGGAGAATTTAGAGAGCAAGAGGGAAAATAAAAAGATCCCGTTGTTCCCGTACCCGACACATGTCAATTTCACATTTGAAATCGTCACATGCCCCTGTCCGCGAGACCCCTTTCCCGCTTCTCACTCCCCAGCATCCCCCCGTTACTGATACCCCACAATATCTCGAGTCTGGGGAGACCCTTGTTAGCGGATAGGACTGGGCAACGGTTGGGTATGGTCACCGTAACATTCGGTAACGGTTACAAGTGCACTGTGACGGCGTTCGACGGCTCGGGGGTTGACAGCTGTCACCAATACTCTGTCTTGCTGCTTTTGCATCATCTTCATAACAATGTGATCT